AGGATTGTAAGCATGAGCCACTGCACCTGGCCTCAAAATATTTTACAAAATTAAATATAAAAGGTGTTCCATATTTTTTTACTGGAAAACAACATTTTTAGTATAAAATGTTGTTATACTAAACAACAATTAATATATAGTGTTAGTTTTAGTATACTATATACTAAAAACTGTTTAGTATACTATATGCTAACAATGTTTTTAGTATAATCATTTTAATAGATTATTCAAATTGATACTTAAGGTCACTCCCTTGAAGAAATTTACATTTATACTCTGTGATTTGAATTGTGAGTGTCTTGGGAAGTGAAAGTGGATTGCTGGGTTTTGATAACCGCCTTTAGTTAATAAGCTTTGATAATAGTTTAGTCTTAATTACTAAAGAAAAAAATTCAAAATGTTCAAATACGTCTGTGTCAATATCCATATGTCTGTATTCATTTCCTAGGGTTAAATGCCTCTTCCTCAGTATGCATGCTGCAGAATTTCTTTTCTTTCTCATCTTGATTATCACAAATATTATTTAAATGTAGGGAGTATGTCATTCCTTATTATTGTAGTACTTTTATCATTTTTGTGACAGCATAGTCCAGTATACTATTGTTAAGCTTGGCATTTCAATCTATAAGTAGTGTATTATAGTTATGATCTAACTTGCTGCCCATACATTATCCGATCAGTGTATTTGGCTAGGACAGAGAAGAAATGATTATTTTAGTGTCATTAGGCCTGAAGATGGTGGGCTGAGACTTCTGTGGCTAGAACTATATGGGCAGGCTTAGAGTAAAGCTTGCCCAAGTTTTTGTTTGTTTGTTTATTTTTTAAATTGTTCTTATACATGCTGTATTTGTACAGTGATTTTGAACTTAACTATTGCATGTGAAGGGTTGGAGAATGCATTTAAGCCTTTTTAGGAACTGTTTTCTTCTCTGGTAAATGTAAATGATAGTATTGACCTGTGAAAACCACTAAAAAAAAAAAAAATTAGCACATGTCTAAGAATAAAATAGACTTTAATACCGAATACTATTTTTATTACTTTAAGTACTTTTTATGATCAAGTAAATAGAAAATATCACTACATTTCTTGAAAGTTATAAATTAGAGATGCTTATGATACTATGTAAGGTAAAATGATCTCCTGGTTTCTTTTTGTAAGACATACTCTTAGGATTTTTAAATTACGTTTTATTCTCATGACTTCTTTTGTAATAAACATTTGATTGCTTTGATTTAATTTAGGCATGGAAGTATTTTGAACCGAGAGTCACCAACAGATAAGAAGCAGAAAGTCGAGCGCATTGTATCACATGATTTTGACCCTGCAGGTAAAACACTGTTTATTGTTCTAAAGAATATTAAGATTAGTGAATTTCAGAATAATGGAGCTTAATCTACCTGAAGCAATCCTGAGTAGATGTTTGATCTGTTTTAGGAATCTCCTCCCCTTTGCTGAATGCAAAGGGTTTATATTATATAAACCTGTATATAATTTATATTATATACATTCTCCCTCCCCTTTATATTATATAAACCCTTTGCATTCAGCAGCAGTGCAAGTATTTTTGAACTTTCAACATTATAGATTTCACTATAGAAGTATTATTATAGAGTGTATTATCTTTAAAAATAATGATAATAGGCTCAGCGCCCGTAGCACAGTGATTATGGCACCAGCCA